ACTACAATGGAGCCCCCCACAACCTTGACAACAACAGAGTCACCCACCTCTACTTCAATCTCAAAAGCTGTCATAACAACCACTGCTATAACTACAACAAAGCCTACCACCACAACAGAGCCCCCTTCTACCACCAGAGTGCACACTACTACAACATCAGAGTTTCCTATTACTACAACTGAGCCCCATACAACCACAATCTTAACAGATAACCCCTCCACTGCCACAAGAGAGGCTCCCACTACTACCACTGAGCTCCCAACAACTAGGACCACAATAGAGCCCTCCACCACTTCTACAACCTCAGATACTCCCTATATTACAACAGAGCCACAAACAACAACACCTACAACAGAGAAACCATCTACCACAACAGAGACCACAACTACCACCTCAGAGGCTCCCATTACTACAAATGAGCCTGCCATAACCATGACAGAGATTCCAACCATTGTTACAACAGAGGCACCAACTACCAGCACAATGCCCATTACCACCACCAACTCTACCATCACCACAAAGGTTCCCATTACTACAACAGAGACCCCCACAACCACAACAACAACCGAGTCACCCACAACTACTTCCATCTCAGAGACCGTCGTTACAACCTCTGCTATAACTCCAACAAAGCCTACTACCACAACAGAGGCCCCCTCTTCTACCACAGTGCACAGTATTACCACTTCAGAAACACCCATTACAACAAATGAGCCTCCTACAACCACAACAGATAACCCTTCCAGTACTACCAGAGCAGAGGTACCCACTACTACCACAGAGCCCAATACTATCACTACCACACAGGATTTCATTACTACAACTGAGCCCCTGACAATAACGACGACAACAGTGTCCCCTACCATTACTACAACTTCAGAAACCACCGCTACGACCACCATTATGACCACCACAACGCCAGTCACTTCCACAGAGATCAACACCACCACCAGAGAGGCTCATTTTACTATCACTGAACTCCCGACAATTATGACCACAATAGAGCCGTCCACCACTACTACCTCCTCAGATACTTCCAATCTTACAACAGAGCCACCCACAACCTCCAGCACTACAGAGACCCCCACCTCTACTACCACTTTAAAGGCTGCAATTACTACCACTACTATGGCCACCACAAAGCCGATCACCACAAAGGCTCCCTCTACTACAACGGAGCCCCCAGCAACCAAGACCACAACAGAGACACCCACCACTACTTCCACCTATGAAATCTTCGTTACAGCCACTCCTATAACTACTACAAAGCCAACCACCACAACAGATGCCCCCTCTCCCACCACAGTGTACAAAACTACCACTTCAGAGGCTCCAATTACAACAACTGAGCCCCATACAACCACAACCACAACAGATAACCCCTCCACTACTACCAGAACAGAGGCACCCACTATCACAACAGAGCCCACTTCTATCACCACCACACAGGCTCTCATTACTACATCTGAGTCCCCCACAATAACGACCACAACAATATCCACCAGCACTACTACCACATCAGAGGCCAATGTTACTACCACTGCTCTAACTACAATAAAGCCTACTTCCACAACAGGAGCCCACTCTTCCACCACAGTGCACAGTATTACCACTTCAGAGGCTCCTATTACAACAACTGAGCCTCCTACAACCACAACCACAACAGATAACCCTACCAGTACTACTAGAACCGAGTTACTCACATCTACCACAAAGCCCACTACTATCACTACCACACAGGTTCTCATTACTACAACTGAGCCCCTAAAATTAATGACTACAACAGTGTCCCCTACCACTACTACAACTTCAGAAGCCATCGTTACGACCACTACAATGACCTCCACAACACCAGTCACTACCACAGAGATTAACACCAACACCAGAGAGGCTCCCTTTACTACCACTGAGCTCCTGACAACTAGTACCACAATAGAGCCCTCCACCACTACTATAACCTCAGATATTCCCAATATAACAACTGAGCCACCCACCACCAGCAGCACTATATACACCCCCACCTCTACTACCAGTTCAAACACTGCCATTACTACCACTACTATTGCCACCACCTATCCGATCACCACAAAGGCTATCACTACTACAACAGAGTCTAAAACCACGACCACCACAGATGCTCCCGCTACTACAACAGAGCCCCCAGCAACCACGACCACAGCAGAGTCACCCACCACTTCTTCCACCTCTGAGACCTTCGTTACAACCACTCCTATAACTACAACAAAGAAAAACACCAAAACAGAGGCCCCCTCTACCACCACAGTGTACACAACTAATACATCAGAGGCTCCCATTACAGCAACTGAGACCCCTACAACCTCGACCACGACAGATAACCCCTCCACTACTACCAGAACAGAGGCACCCACTTCCACAACAGAACCCACTGCTATCACTAGCACACAGGCACTCGATATTACAACTGAGCCCCCCACAATAACTACCACAAGAGTATCCCCCAGCACTACTACCACATCAGAGGCCAATGTTACTACCAAAGCTATAACTACAACTAAGCCCATCACTACAACAGAGGTACCATTTACCATGCCAGAGCCCACAACTACCTCCTCAGAGGCTCCCATTACTACAAATGAGCCTGCCATAACCACAACAGAGGCCCCAACCAGTATTACAACAGAGGCACCCACTACTAGCACAATGCTCACTAGCACCACCAGCTCCATCAACCCCACACAGGTTCTAATTACTACAACAGAGCCCCCCACAACCATGACAACAATAGAGTCACCCACAACTACTTCCATCTCAGAGACCATCATTACAACCACTGCTATTACTACAACAAAGCCTACTACCACAACAGAGGCCCCTTCTACCACCACAGTGCACAGTATTACCACTTCAGAGGCTCCCATTACAACAACTGAACCTCCTTCAACCACAACTACAACAGATAACCCTTCCAGTACTACCAAAACAGAGGCACCCACTACTACCACAGAGCCCTCTACTATCACTACCACACATGCTCTCATTACTACAACTGAGCCCCTCACAATTACGATCGCAATAGAGTCACCCACAACTACTTCCACCTCTGAGGCATTTGCTTCAACCAATGCTATAAGTACAACAAAGCCATCCACCAAAACAGAGGCCCCCTCTACCACCACAGTGCACTCTACTACCACTTCACAGGCTCCCATTACAACAACTGAGCCCCCTACAACCACAACCACAACAGATAACACCTCTAGTACTACCAGAACAGAGGCACTCACTACTACAACAGAGCCCACTACTATCACTACCACACAAGCTCTCATTACTACACCGGAGCCTCCCACAATAATGATCACAACAGTGTCCCCCACCACTACCACCACATCAGAGGCAACTGTTACTACCAATGCTATAACTACAACTATGCCCACTGCTACAAAAGAGGTACCCACTACCACCATTGAGCCCACTTCCACCACCAGCTCTGTCACTACCACACAGGCTCCCATTACTACCACTGTGCTCCCTACAACCACAACCACTCCAGATTCAATTGCCACTACTACAACTTCAGAAGTCAGTTTTACTACCACTGCTATGACCACCACAAGGCCAGTCACTAGCACAGTGACCACCACCAGCACCACCCCTTTGCCCCATACATCCCCGACCACCACAGAATCCCTCACCACTACTACCTCTTCAGAGGCCACCATTTCTACCACTACTATGACTACAAAAAAATCTTCCATCACCAACACAGTGGACCCCACTACCTTCATAGAGCCCAGCAACACAACCACAGAGGTTCCCATTAGTGCCACTGAGCCCCTCATAACCACAACAGAGCCCTCCACCACTACTACTACCTCAAATGCCGCCATTACTACCACTACTATCATCACCACAAAGCCCACCAACACAGTGCCCTCCTCTACCACCAAATATCCCATTACTACCACCTCAGATACTCCCATTACTGCCACTGAGCTGCCCACAATTATGATCACAACAGAGACCCCCACCACTACAACCACTTCAGAGGCTGCCATTGTTACTGCCACTACTATGACCACCTCAAAGCCCACCACCACCACAGATGAATCCACTACCATCATAGAGTCCACCACCACTACAGAGGGTCACATTCCTAACACTGAGCCCTCCCCAACCACAAAAACAACATATCCCTCCACTTCTATTACCACTTCGGAGACTGGCATTTCCACCACAACTATGATAACCATAAAGCCCACCACAAACATCTCAGACGCTCCCATTACTATCACTGAGCCACCCACAATCACAACCACAACAGAGTCCCCCACCACTACAACCACCTCTGAGTCCACTTTTACTACAACTACTATGACCACCACAAGTCCCCCCACCACAGAGCCTCCCACTACTAACACAGAGCCCACAAACACCACCACTAACACCACAGAGACTCCCATTACTACAACAAAGCCCCCCACAACCATGACCACAACAGAGTTCCCCACCACTACTACCACCTCAGATGGCACAATTACTACCTTTACTTTGACTTTCACAAAGCCCATCATCACCACAGAGCCCACCAACACCACAGATGTTCCCATTACTACTAATGATCCCATGACAACCATGATCAGCACAGAATCCCTCACTACTGTTACCACTTCAGAGGCTGCCATTACTACAACTACTATGATGACTACAATGCCCACCAACACCACAGAGGCACCCAACATCAACACAGAGGCCACCACCACTACCACAAAGGATCCCATTACCTCCACAGAGACTCCCACAACCATGACAACAACAAAGACCTCTACCATTACTACCACCTCAGAGATCGCCGTTACTACCACTTTTATGACCACCACAAAGTACGCCACCACAGAGGCCCCCAGTACTACCACAGAGGCCACCACCACATCTACCACCACCACAGAGGTTCTCTTTACTTCCAATGATCCTCCCACAACCATGACCAGCACAGATTCCCTCACTACTTCTACCACTTCAGAGACTGCCATTACTAACACAACTATGACCACCACACAGCCCACAAACACAGCAGAGGAACCCACCACCACCACAGAGGCTCCCATTACTACCACTGATGCTCTCACATCCGTGATCACAACAGAGACCCCCAACACTACTACCACCTCAGAGGCCATCACTACCACCACAGAGTTCTCTTCCACAACCACAACCACACAAGCTCCCATTACTACCACTGTACCCCCCACAACCACCACAAAGCTCACCATAACCACAGAGGCCCCCACTAAAACCACAGAGCCTTCCACCACTACTACTACCTCCAAGCCTGCCATTACTGCCACTACTATGAATGCCACAAATGCCACTACCATCACAGAAGCCCTCACTACCACCACACAAACTTCCACCAGCACCACAGAGGCAACCACTACCACCACACAACCAAACACCACCACCACAGAGGCTTCCACTACAACTACCATCATCGAGCCACCCACACCCACTACCACAACAACCACAGCTACCATTACTTCCACAAAGGCCCCCACCATCACATCTATTATGACAACCACAGAGTTCACCACCACCATAGAGGCCCCCTTTACCACCACGGAGCCAACTACTAGCAGCACAGTTGATGCCACAACTACTACAGTGGCTCCCATAACTACTACCACCACTACAGTTACCACCCCAAAGCTCCCCACAACCACTACTGCCACTGTTGCTCCTGAAATTGCCAATATCACTATCATTCCTACTTCTACTATGCATACCACACCAGAGCTCCCTATTACCACCCCAGAGTTCTCCACAGCCACTACTTCTATTATTACTACCTCTACTACCTCAGATCACCCTACAACTATTAGCACCACTGAAACCCCCACTACCACCATCGGTACTAGCAACCCAGATACCTCCATCACCCCACCACCCATGTTGAAGCCTATTTGCACTGTGACAGGTTCCTCTGTCATTGATTTTAAAGGCCATGTGGACTTCATAAAGGATCAGTGTGAGTACTCCTTGTTGAAGTTGCCATCAATCCTAGGGTTCCAGGTACTCGGTAATTTCCTGGAGCGGCGTCGTAAAGATGTGAGCTTTCTGGACAGTGTGATGTTGATAGTGGACGGCAGTCGCATACACCTGAAACAGGGCAGCAGAGTTCTGGTGAGCCTCCTGCAGCTATAATTCATGAGTCTGAGTGAATTTAGATCAGAATGTGGCCTCTCATGTTTCCTCTCAGTGACATTATGCAGCAGCTCTCTGATGCTGCTGAACTAAGTGGTTGTTGCTGTGAGAACAGCCTGTTTGTGTGTTTGACATGTAGACCTCAGGGTATCCTCCGCTTTGTCTCTTTGCCATGCAGCTGAACAACTCACCACTGAACCTGGACAGCTCCCCTCAAGTGGTTCATGGTGTGGAGATCTCTAAGGACCAAACTGGAGTCACTGCCAAGGCAGTGTTCTTCAACTTCCTCAACGTTTCTATCTTTTTTGATAGCTACACCACACAGATCCACCTTGAAGGTACAGAAAGTCAAATAGTGTTTGACGGGGAATTTACAAACACATGAAAGAGAAAATCCACCCTGTTTTGATTCTTGGGCTTTACATATCAGGACAAAATAAAAACATTTTTTCATGAGGTATTGAGAAATTAATTAAAAGAAAGATTAAAGCACTGATCTTTTTTATTAGTGGGTGCCGCCTTTCTGCCTTCCTTCCTTGTAGACATAATGAAGAATTCTGCAGTTTTCATTTACTGGTACTTTAAATGTTGATGCTGACATGACTCTCATTCTGTCCTGAACCGGATTAGGATCTACTGGATCACCTCCAACAGGTCTGTGTGAAGATTCCAGCAGTGAAGCGAGGCTCCCTGGCTGCAGTTCCATAAGGTAAGAGCTCCTCACTGACTGCTGCTCTGCTGCTGCTGGATGAATGGACTGCAGAGGAACTCTGTTTGGATGAACAAGCAAACAGTCCTGACTTTGTTGTGTGTCACCCCCTAGCTGTGAGACGCAGTATAATGACACTGATGACAGATCAATAAACTGCACCAAGACAACTGAGTGGTGAGTAGATCCATCCAGATCATCCGTCTGAGTTTCACTCTGGTCTCTGTGGTAGATTACATGTTTATTACATTTGTTATCTTCCATGTTGTCTGTTTCCTCATGTGGAGCAGCTGTAACCTCCTGAAGGAGGTGCCCTTCACCTCCTGTGACATCGACCCAGAGCCCTACATCACCGCCTGCACAGACACTTTGTCAAGGTATCCTGCAGTGGACGGTCTCAAGTGTCAGTTCCTGGAGGCCTACGCCAGAGCCTGCAGCCTGAAATCCAACACCACTCTGGAGGGCTGGAGGTCCAAGACTGAGTGTCGTAAGACCTGCTTCGGTCCAACATCTGATCTAAAGAAATCACTTGTTGGTTTCACAGAATAATTCATCAGTGTGTTCCTCTGCAGGTTCTCCTAAGGCCTTCTGTCAAGACAGGACCTGCAGCGATCATGAGTTTTGTGGAGAGGTTTCTCAGTATGGAGATACTCGTTGCTTCTGTCGGGCCAACTTTGCTTGCAGATACAGAAACACTTTGGGTACGACACCTGTGATTACACCAACATGACAACATGGCTGAATGACTGGAAGGAACTTCTAACTGTGGTTTTTCTCACCAACATTCAGGTGATCCAGCCATCTGCAGTCACAACACGGCTTCTGCCTCTTTGGCCATTTGTCTCCTGGAGAACGAAGGCATTGACTACTCTCTTTTACACCTCAATGACCCAACCTGCAGAGGTCAGGTAGATGAGCAGAACCACACAGTGACCTTCAGTTTCAGTGCCAGCGACCTCTGTGGGACAAAGATCACGGTGAGTTCTCAATCCAGTTCTTCATTTCTTCTTTGAATCTTCTCTGGGACTCGTCTTTAACTTGAGATATTTTTGTGGGTTCAGTCTTTACCTCTAACATCCGAGGCTAAAAACTCTTCAGAAACATTCTTCATGCTTCTCTTTGCAGACCAACAACAACCAGGTCATCTACCAGAACACAATCATGACCCAGAACTTCTCCTCTGATGACATCATTCGCCATGACCAGGTCATGATCGACTTCTCCTGCTACCATGCTAAGTCGGAGATCAGGGACATGTCCTTCAGAATTAAAGACAAGTGAGTGTGGCAGCTTGTTGCTTTGGTTTGAAGCACTCTCCAGGTATTTATAGAAGGAAAGAATGAAAAGTGAGTTCAGGAGGTTTTCCTGGTTCCCTGAAATCTCCATCACAGTGATGCACATCAAAATAATCTCTGAAGAACTGGACGAACAGGATGTTTATGTTACTGCCAAGCTCTCCAACTGATTGGTTGTAGGAGTGTGTTATTGTCTTAAAGCTGAGCTCATAAGCACCATCCAACTGAGACCTTGGAAAATTGTTCATAAACTGGAGATATTCAAGGCCATAAAAATTACAACAGATGGTTCTAGACAACAGGATCACTGTGTACTGTGAAGATGTAGTGTCTTTTCTGTTTATTACATCAGATTTATTCTAACTGAACAATAAATACTTGTGTTTGGTCTAATCAGGCTAAATCATCTTTTTCTTCTTTCGGCTTTTCCCTCTTCAGGGGTCACCGCAGCGAGTCATCCTCCTCCACCTCACTCTGTCCTCACTCCAACTACCTTCATGTCCTCTCTAACTGCATCCATATATCTCCTCTTTGGCCTTCCTCTTTGTCTTTTTCCTGGCAGCTATATTTCTAACATCATTCTAACAATATACCCATGGTCCCTCCTATTGACATGTCCAAACCATCTCAGTCTGGCCTCCCTAACTTTATCTCCCAGTTGTTCAACCTGGGCTGTACCTCTGATGATCTCATTCTTAATCTTATCCAGCCTTGTCACCCCTAAGGAGAACCTTAGCATCTTCATTTCTGCCACTTCCAATTCTTTCTCCTGTCTTTTTGTCAATGCCACTGTCTCCAGACCATAGAATATAGCTGGTCTCACCACTGTCTTGTAAATATCCTGATGCATGCTCAATAATCCAGATAGAAAAATCTAAAAAAGTTCTATCTGGTCCTCTGGACATTCAAAATAACCAAACAAAACAAAAAAATTAGAGAAACGTTTCGTCTTTCATCCAAAAGACTTCCTCAGTCTGAGGTGCTGTATTCAGCTCAGTCTTATAAATAGCACCCTCTCACAGTGGATCAACCAGTTTACTGCTGACAGCCAAAACCAGCTGCTCACATGATAAAGAAGGACCATCAGCCTAATGATGGATCATTAGCATACTGATGGCTGTTTGCTATTCACAGGGGGCTGAGTGATACTAACAATAACAGCATTGTGGGCGGGGGATATGAGGCCTCCACCCCTGTTTATTGATGGACAGTTTCATTTCACAAAGATGGCTTCCTTTACTCCTTTCTCAAACCATCGTTCCTCTCTATCATGGATGTGAACATCTTCATCCCTGAAAGAGTGACCACTGGCCTGGAGATGAGTGTAGACCGCAGAGTCCTGGCCTGATATTGTTGATCTCCTGTGCTGGGCCATCTTTTTGGCCAGTGGCTGTTTAGTGTCCCCGATGTAAGACTGATCACAGCCCTTCTGACACTGAACAGCATACACAATATTACTCTGTTTGTGCCGGGGGATCAGCCATCTGCAACAACAAAATTAAAGAGGATGAGGCAGCTCAGAATCAAAGTTTCTTCCTGCCTCAGCAATGCCAAACCACCACCTTCCAACATCAGTAGAGAGGAGAGGGATGCACTCTTAGCAAGGACAAAAACATCATCATTCTCCCAGCAGACAAAGGAAGGTGCACAGTGATTTTTAACCAGAAAGATTATCATAAGAAAGTTATGACACTCCTTAGTGACTTAACCACTTATGGGCCACTGAAAAGAGATCCAGGAAGTGGCTAAAAGAAGAAGTTAATAGATTGCCTGAAAAATTTGGAGCAGGACAAGGCTATTGACCGTATTCTGTACCACAGACTGTACCCAGTGGAGGCCACACCTAGTCTGTATGGTTTACCTAAAATTCACAAACAAGTTGTACCTTTAAGACCAATTGTCAGTATAATTTACTCTGTCGCTTACAATGTTTCAAAATATCTGACGTCTGTACTCATGCCTTTAGTTGGCAGCTCAGAACACCACATACAGAATACCATGGACTTTGTGGATAAGGTGAGGGATGTCATCATGGAGACTGATGAAACAATGGTCTCTTTTGATGTCACATCACTCTTTAGGTGCATTCCTGTCGATGATGCAGTAGAGGTGGTCAGTTTAAGATTTAAACCAGACACCACTCAGAGCAGCAGGACCACGTTTTCCACAGAACAACTGTGTCAACTCTTGAAACTGTGCCTGCAGTCAACCTACTTCACATATGGGGAGCAATATTATAGGCAGAAACATGGGTGTGCCATGTGGTCTCCAGTTTCTCCTATTGTTGCCAACTTGTACATGGAGGAGGTAGAAAAGAGAGCCTTGATGTCCTTTTCAGGGACACTACCAAGTCATTGGTTCAGGTATGTTGATGACACCTGGGTCAAAATTAGATGTCTAACATTTTACTGACCACATCAACTCTGTGGATAAATATATCACCCCTGAAGAGGGAAAAGAGGCCTTCCTCTCATTCACACACATGTACTCTGTCTTACTATGGCTGACTTTCATTCCTCTTCTTTCAAGTGCATATCTCCACCTCTCCAAGTTCTCTTCCACCTGTTCCATGTTCTCACTACAGATCACAATGTCATCTGCAAACATCATAGTCCATGGGGATTCTTGCCTGACCTCATCTGTTAGTTGGTCCATCACCAGAGCAAACAAGAAAGGGCTCAGAGCCGATCCTTGATGCAATCCCACCTGAAGCTATCTGTCACTCCTACAGCACATCTCACCACTGTCCTGCTGTCCTCATACATGTCCTGTAAGAGTCAGAGTCAGAGTCAGAGAGTCAGAGTTTCTTTATTGTCATTCGCACCTCATGTGGTACATGTGGTGGAGCGAAATTATGTACACAGGGTCCCAGTTACATCCAACAATAAAATGTATAAGAAAAACAGTAATAACATCTAAGATATGAACTAAGAAAAACATCAACTAAATATACACTAAGCACTCATAACATAAAACATTGAACATCAGCACAAACATGAACATGAGTCTGTGAGCAGATGTGCACGCATGAACACATCAACATTGAAACAGATCAGCAGCAACATGATATGGTTTTTCACAGTGATTATTCTAGTTAGAGATTCATGAGTCTAACAGCCTCAGGGTAGAAGCTGTTCCTCAGTCTAGTGGTTCTACACTTAATGCTCCTTAACCTCCTTCCTGAGGGGAGTGGGGCAAAAAGTGTGTGTGCTGGGTGGGTGGGGTCCTTCATGATGCAGGTGGCCCTCTTCCTGCATCTGGAGGTGTAGATGTCTGTGATGGTGGGGAGACTGATTCCAACAGATTTCTGTGCAGCCTTCACCACTCTCTGCAAAGCTTTTCTTTCTGCAGCTGTGCAGCCTCCATGCCACACATTGATGCTCGAGCACAGGATGCTCTCCACTGCACACCTGTAGAAGGAGGTGAGGACTGAGCTTCCCAGACCAGCTCGCCTCAGCCGTCTGAGGAAGTAGAGTCTCTGATGAGCTTTCTTGATCAGGCTGGTGGTGTTGTTGCTCCAGCTGAGGTTGTCATTCATGTGTATACCCAAGTACTTGTAGCTGGAGACCACTTCCACCGCAGATCCTCTTATGTTCAGGGGGGTGTAGGTGTTTTTGTTCCTTCTGAAGTCCACAATCATCTCCTTTGTCTTCTTCACATTGATGTGAAGGTTATTCTCTCTGCACCAGCTCTCCAGGTGTTCCACCTCCTGCCTGTAGCTGGACTCATCATTGTTTGTGATGCATCCCACCACCGCTGTATCATCTGCAAACTTTACAATGTGACAGCCTGGATGGGTAGCTGCACAATCATATGTGAGCAGAGTAAACAGGAGGGGGCTCAACACACATCCCTGAGGAGAGCCAGTGCTGAGGGTTATGGTGGAGGAGGAGAGGTTGTGGATCCTCACTAACTGTGGTCTGTTTGTTAAAAAGTCTAGTACCCAGTTGCAGATGGAGGGGCTTAGTCCTAGTGTGAATAGTTTGTCCATCAGGGTTTGGGGGATCATGGTGTTGAAGGCGGATGTGAAGTCCACAAAGAGCATACGGACGTAAGAGTTTTTCTGCTCCAGGTGGTTGAGCGCAGTGTGGACCACAGAGGAGATTGCATCCTCTGTTGATCGGTTCTCACGGTATGCGTACTGATGAGGGTCCTCGTTGATGTTGATGGCTGTTTTGATGTGAGTCATGACCAGTTTTTCGAAGCATTTAGCGACTATCGGGGTGAGGGCCACTGGCCGATAGTCATTCAGACCAGTCACTGTAGAGCTTTTTGGGACTGGGATGATGGTGGCAGTCTTCAGGCAGGTGGGAACTGTCTCCAGGGTAAGTGAGGTGTTAAAGATGTCTGCCAGCACCTCACAGAGCTGATCAGCACATTCCTTCAACACTTTTCCGGGGATGTTGTCTGGGCCAGTTGCTTTGTGCGGATTAATCCTCCTGAAGGTACTCCTTACTTCTGCTGAGGTCAGTACAGTCTAACATACTTTTCTGCTGCTCCAGATTTTCTCCTGCAATACCACACCTCCTCTCTTGGCATTATGTTATATGCTTTTTCTAAATGCACAAAGACACAATGGAGTTCTTTCTGACCCTCTCTTTACTTCTCCATCATCATCCTCAAAGCAAAGATGGCATCTGTGGTGCTCTTTCTTGGCATGAAACCAGACTGCTGCTCACAGATAGTCACCTCTCGTCGAAGTCTTGCTTCCACAACTCTCTCTCAGATCTTCATTGTGTGGCTCATCAAATTTATTCCCCTGTAGTTGCTACAACTCTGTACATCACCCTGTTCTTAAAAATGGGCACCAGCACTTCTTCTCCATTCCTCAGGCATTTTCTCACCCTCATATATCCCTTTGAATATTTGAGTCAAAAACCTCACTGCCATCTCTCCAAGACATTTCCAAACCTCCACTGGAATGTAGGGGTTGAATGACTACATAATTTTTAAACTCAACATTAACATAATAAAACTCGAGTAGAACTCGAGTACTTGATGACATCATAGAATCTAAAGATGCAAAAATAAATGAATAAAATAAATAAGTCACAGGAAAAACAAAACTATTAGTTATTATTATAAAGCTGCAAAACTGAAAGAAACGTGTGGCGTGTAAAAAACAAAACTAAAATCAGTCGGATCACCCCGCACCACCGCCCACAGTGTTGCGCATTAGGTTTAGTTTTAGAGATTAATATGTTTATAGGTTTTTTTTTTTATAGGTTTAGAGATTAATATTTTTTGCTTTTAGTTTGTGAAACAAGGTCAGAGGAAGCTGGTTCTGGTTTGGTCAATTGGACCCGGTGTTACACCATATTCTGTGACCTGCAACAGTGCATGCAACACCGCCCCCTACGGTCACAATATACGGTGGTCACAGAATAAAGTGTAACACCGGTTCGCAACGCGCTCCAAACAGTCAGGAAGTTGATTCATTTTCTGTTTCCTTATGGTAGTTAAACCGGAAGATTCATCTTTAGTGAAATATTCCCATACTATTAATGCATTTTTACCTGTTTGCCAAGACTGGACCTGCTCCGCTCCATTCGTCTGCATGGAAGAATCCATTTTGTAACCCACGCCCAGTGCGGATCAAGTGACACGTGACGCAATGACGTAACAGCGACGTAATGACGTCACCACGGATACTCAACGTGAAATTTAAAAACTCGATAGATGTCCTAGGAATCTATGTGTAGATTACTCGAGTAGTCTGTTAAAGCCCTACTGGTATGTCATCAGGTCCTACTGCCTTCCCCTTCTTCATTCTTTTCAGAGCTTTCCGGACTTCACCCTCACTAATCTTACCCACTTCCTGGTCCACCGTTTCTATGACCTCTACTCTTCTTTCTCTTTCATTCTCTTCATTCATTAGCTCCTCAAAGTACTCCTTCCATCTTCCCGTCACACTCATCACTTGTTAGAACATTACCATTCCTATCTTTAATAAGCCTAACCTGCTGCACATCCTTTCCAGCCTGATCCCTCTGTCCTGCCAATTGGCGCAAGTCCTTCTTGCCCTCTTTAGTGTCCAGTCTCCCATACAACTCATCATACATCTTCTGCTTTGCCTTAGCTACCTCCCTCTTTGCTCTCCGTCCCATCTCCTTATATTCCTGTCTCCTCTCTTCAGTCCTCTCACTGTCATATTTCTTCTTGGCTAATCTCTTTCTTTGAACAGCTTCCTGCACTTCACTATTCCACCACCAGGTTTCCTGATCATCCATTCTCTGTCCAGGTGACACACCAAGTACCTTCCTACCTGCCTCTCTAATTACTGTTGCTGTAGTAGCCCAGTCATCTGGAAGCTCTTTCTTACCACCCAGAGCCTTTAACAGCTCCTCTCTGAATTTCTCACAACATTCTTCCTTCTTCATCTTCCACCATTTGGTCTTCTTCTCTGATTTTACTCTTTTTCTCTTCTTCACAACAACAGTCATTCTACACACAACCATCTGATGCTGTCTGGCCATGCTCTCCCCTGCCACAACCTTAGCGTCTCCAATCTCCCTCAGGTTTCCTCTTCTACACAGAATGTAGTCGACCTGCGTACTCCTTCCTCCACTCTTATAGGTCACTCTACGCTCCTCCCTCTTTTGGAAATAAGTGTTGACTACAGCCATTTCCATTCTCTTGGCAAAATCCACCACCATCTGTCCTTCCTGGTTTCTTTCCTTGACACCAAACCTACCCATCACTTCCTCATCCTCTGTTTCCTTCACAAACATGTCCATTCAGGTCTGCTCCCATCACCACTCTCTCCTCCCTAGGAATACTCTCTATCATTTCATCCAGATCTTTCCGAAATGTATCTTTCTCCTCCACACATCCAACCTGTGGAGCATAACCACTGACAATGTTTAGCATCATACCTTCTACTTATACCTTCAGGCACATCACCCTATCTGACACTCTTTTCAACTCTACTACATTCTTTGCCAACTCCTCCTTCAGGACCACCCCTACTCCATTTCTCTGTCTATCCACACCATGGTAAAACAGTTTGAACCCTGCTCCAATGCTGTGAGCCTTGCTGCCCTTCCACTTGGTCTCTTGGACACATAAAACATCTACCTTCCTTCTCAGCATCATGTCAGCCAGCTCTCTACCTTTGCCTGTCGTTGTCCCCACATTTAGAGTTGCAACCCTCAATCCTACATTCTTCACTTTCCTCTTCTCCCTCTGTCTCCTGACACGTTTCCCTCCTCCTCTGATCAGGCTAAATGTGTTGCAGAAAACTTACAAAGCAAATAGTACTTCCAGTCAAAATGACCCTCCTCTTTCTCCTGCCTGTTCAAAATGTTGCTAAGGGCTGCATGTGTTCATTAGCCAATCTGCCATTAATCCTCTGCCAGATTTAGCAGCCGGCTACTTTTCACCAGTCATCCTGATGAGTTGCCCAACAAGGGTCCAGCTTGTTTGCGTTTCTTCAAAATGTCACAACAACATAAAGGACATGTCTCCTTTGCAGCTCTGTTTATCAAGTCATCTCATCTGGACCTTGGAATTACAATGTGTCCATGAGGGCCTACATTAATGAAGGCTGCACACAAGCTGTGGAGTCAACCACTAAAGTGAGGCTGAACGAGAAGGTCTGGATGAAGCTGGACACCAAGGGGCTGGATGAAAACCTGGTCGCTCTTGTGACTGACTCCTGCTGGGCAACTGACCAACCTTCTGCCTCAGCAAGTCTGAAGTACTACCTGATCATAGACGGGTGAGATGCCACCAGAGATTCGTCCATCAGTGTGTTTTCTGCTGGCTCTGATCTGATCACCGGACTAAAAGTATTTTTCTGTTTGTGAGCAGCTGTCCGAACCCTACAGACCCAACAGTGAGGGTGGAGAGGAACGGAGTTGGAACCTCCAGTGGCTTCTCCTTCAACATGTTTGAGTTCACTGGAGGCTCTGATGAAATCTACCTGCACTGCAAACTGCACCTGTGTGTCAAACAGGGGAACAGCTGCATTCCGGTACGCCTCACTGACAAACACATCACATGATGACATGTCTGAACCTGACTCACTCTCACTCATGATGAGCTGACCTGCTCCAACACAAAACATAACGTAATAGTGTTATCTTGAGTTGTTCACTTCCTGGTCAATTACTTTTCATTGATCCAGCTGAAATATTTTGACTCACAAGATCAAATGTTTCTTTCAGTTCAGAGTCAAAGAATCTTAGTCCTGTAAAGTCTGGACTTCATCTGTGTTTGTCTTTAACTCCTAGTCATGTGACAGAAAACGAAGACGTAGATCTTTGAGGTCCAAAAAAGATTCTCCTGCTCTCATCAGCATGGGCTGGACTCAGTAGGTAAGACACCTCTCTGCTGCTGCACATTTTATTTTCTCATGCGTTTATACAGGCTGCTATAGGAAGTACATTGAAGGTAAAGTTACAAAAAGGTTTTATTAAATTCAACAAGTCAAACATTACGTTGGATCAAAGAGACTTTACAGCAACAGACCAGATACAATTTGAACTCTGAGTTTATGTTAAATGAAACATTTAAAGTCCATAAGCTCAGAAGCTGTCTCACTGACTGTCACGAGGCAAGAATTCTTTCTAACTGTTGTTTTGGTGAATTTACATGTATGAATTTGAATTCACTGTAAATGTGATTGTGTGAACAGTCAACATTTGGTCCTGTTGTCTTCTCAGGTTGTTTCCATGGTGACCGGACTGATTGACAGGCTGCTGACCTCCATGATGATCCCTGACTGTTGACTTGTCCTGATCCAGAGCCAGATTGTGTTTTGTGATGAAACACTGATCAGATTATCTTATTTGCTACTTCTCCCAGCATGCTCAGTGTTGTTGCTATCAACCTGTTTAGTCTTGTTTTGAGAGATGAGAACATGAAAACTGAGAACATGAGAGATGAGAACATGAAAACTGAGAAAATGAGAGATGAGAACATAGGAATGAAAGGAAATTTTGATGAGAAGTCTTGCAGCTGAGATTTGTACAAAATAGAGTCTTGGTTTAAACAGGATGGTTTTAGTTGTATAAATGTGATAACAGAAAACACAAATTATTGTTTCTAATTCATGAAAAGACAACTGAGGCAGGATATTTGTTATATTCCTGAAATGGAAGTAACTTGACTGAACTAAAAACTTGACATGTTACTTGACTTGACAGGGGATAATATTGGCAGGAATCACACATTTGTAACACAAACTGATCATAAAACATATATATATGTGTGTGTGTGTGTGTGTGTGTGTGTGTGTATATATATATATATTATACTGGATATTTTATATTCTTCCTGAGACTCGCCTGATTAATGTGTCAGAGCAGAAAAAAGGCTGCAGACATTCACAGAGATAGTCTGAGTACTTTAAAAACAATAATAAAATGTTCAAATCAGGTATTTGATCATAAAATGTTTCAAAAAGGTGCATTAACCTATTTATTTTTATTGTTATTTGTTTGTCAGGTTTTCTATTGGTTTCTCAACCTTGTTGCTAAATTTGTCATTTTTCTTGTTTTACATGTTGAACTTTCAATGATTCTAAAATGTTGCAAGATAATCTTTAAATCAGCTCTTTTTAATATTCAGCTATTCTTAATTCAACTTAATAGAAAATCACATCAGTGGTGTGAAATAATTTTATGTTTCTGATTATTATTTGTTATGGACATTATTTATTACAGCATATTAAAAGGAAAAAATAAGAACATGAAACTTTTTCGTTGGTGTTGCAGTTATTTATTTTTCTCTTTTTAAATCCGTCCAGAGGAACTAACGTAACCTTTTTAGATAATTCTACCTGGATTATTGAACATGCATCAGGATGGCAGTTATTGCTATTCCCCATTAAAATGGTTATAAACCAGCTGGTCAGTTGTGAATTTCAAACACAGATTACATGATAAAAAAGGCATGCAGGTCCATAAAACAAGGGCATCTCCAGCACCAGGCAATTAACTTGGTCACTAGGATTTATTGGCTCCTTGGTTCAATTCTGAGTTAGGTACTTTAAACAGACATCTACAAACCTAGAAAGAAAATGATGCTCCACTAACGTTGAGGAATCTTACTTATCCTGGAGAAATAGTCTGCTAACATACAAAAAAGTGCTCAGTAAAGCTAGAACTTTATATTATTCATCTTTAATTAGTGAAAATAAAAATAACCCCAGGTTCCTTTTCAGTACTATAGCTAGTCTAATGACAAATCCTCTCTCTGTTAATTCATGTATCCCTACAAAATATGAGCAGTGATGACTTCATGAGATTCTTTATAAATAAAATTGTTTCAATTAGAGAAAAAAAATCAAACCATTCTTTCTACTATCCTGGTGCATGCTCAATATTCCAGGTACAAATATCTAAAAAGTTAAATCTGGCCCTCCAGATGTTCAAAGAACATACAAACTAACAAACAAAAACATTTGTTGAAACGTTTCGTCTCTCATCCTGAGGACTTCCTCAGTCTGAGGTGCTGTATTCAGCTCAGTCTCTTAAATAGCACCTTCTCAGAGTGGATCAACCAGTTTTGCTGCTGACAACCAGAACCAGCTGATCACATGATCAAGAAGGACCATCAGCCTAACAATGGATCATTAGCACCTGATGGCTGTTTACTGTTCACAGAGGGCTGAGTGATACTAGCAATCACAGCATTGTAAGAGGGGGACAGTTGAACCTGGAGGCTCCACCCCTGTTTAATGATGGACGGTTTCTTTTCACAAAGATGGCCTCCTTTACTCCTCTCTCAAACCATCGTTCCTCTCTGTCCAGGATGTGAACATCTTCATCCCTGAAAGAGTGATGAAAGGGTGATGGGAGTCAAACTGCAAATACTGGTCTGTGTGGGTGGGTTTGCGGTACACCTCAGTTTGTAAATGTTCTCCATTGGGGACAATATTATAGGCAGAAACATGGGTGTGCTATGGGGTCTCCAGTTTCTCCTATTGTTGCCAACCTGTACATGGAGGAGGTAGAAAAGAGAGCCTTGACGTCCTTTTCAGGGACACCACCAAGTCATTGGTTCAGGTATGTTGACGACACCTGGGTTCAAATTAAATCTCAGGAAGTCCAACATTTTACTGACCACATCAACTCTGTGGATAAATACATCAAGTTCACACGAGAAGATGTAAAAAATGGCAGGTTGGCTTTCTTGGACTGTGAGGTCTCAGTCTCTGATAGAGGACATTTGCAAACCGAGGTGTACCGCAAACCCACACATGTACCACATAGAATAGAATAGAATAGAATAGAATAGAATAGAATAGAATAGAAT